TAAATAAATAAATAAATAAATAAATGAGTAATTAATAAATAAAATAAATAAATAAATAAAATGATAACAAAAAAGCAACCCAAATCCGTTACCTTCCTGGCAAACTTGGGCATATGCCAGAGTGGCCTGGGTATCTTCGGGCACGGCATGTAAGTCCTCACGTGACACGCGTGGTTCTGGTAGTACTTCCGGTAATCCACTTTCTGTTAGAAAATGAACACATGGAATAACAAGACGGCAATACTTATTTTATTACATGTAACAAATTCTATCTATCTATCTATATATCTATCCATCTATCTATCTGTTCATCCATCCATCCATCTATGTATCTATCTATCTATAAATCAGCTGAGCATGAAGCAGGATGGCAACACCGATGGATCCCACTTCCTCTTTTTCTTCCCTCTGTGTAGTTTCTGTCTGTCTTGGTTTTTCCAAATTCCAAGCACAATTTGAACAGTTGTGCAAACAAATGAGCGAACAAATAAACAAACATACAAACAAACAAAGAGGCACACATACATTCAATTAAGCAAACACACAAACTTATTAACCGGCTTTTCCTGCTGGTATTTCTCTGTACTTTCGCCGACGTCTCTTGGCCTAGACCGGATCCACTCGTCCTGAAACTTGGTGCTCAGAATATCGTGCATGTTGTACTTGATGTTGCTGGGGGAAAAGAAGAGAGTTCGTTTTCGTAAGAGTTTTACAGCACTTGCAACACAATAAGGTCATAGTCATATAAGTGCTGAAGATTAGAGGTGTTACAAGAGAATAACAAAATTTTAAAAAAGGAGGAGAGATAAAGACGATAGTTGTTTGATAAGAAAAAAGGAGCAAACCACACCAGAGCACCCACCAACCACCCACGGAGATAGTTCAAGGTTCTACTCATTGCACAAAAACAATATATAAAGACATGAGAACAAACAGACGCTTTAGTCACATTTTCCTAAAAATAGGAGTTCTGCCTATCATCCGAAACCGGCGACAAAGGGCTATCTATTAATAGCACTGACGAAGCGCGCGCTATTCTGTTCCTACGTCCAGTTATTCTTGTTAAAAAATGCGAAGCTTAAATGCAACAACAAGGTCAAGTCCTGAAAAAAAAAAAACCCGTCTATGTCTGTTCTCTAATCGGAACTTACTTGTATATGTGAGACGTGCTTACAAAATGGGTTACTTCTCGCAATCCACAAATGGAGATGTTGGCCAAAAATCGACACTTGGGTCAAATTTGTAGATTTTTTATTGATGTCATATTTTTAAAGTACAACATGCCCTTAATGATTTCATGCCCTTTATGATTTCATACTTATACATAGTAATAACTTCACCTATAAGCGTGATATATCTATTTCCATGGAGATAAAATGAGAGAAGTTACTTATTTTGCGTGATATAATATATATATATATATATATATATATATTTCACGAAATAATGTTTCTGCTCATTTTCTCGAAATCATCAAAATATGACGTGACTTTGGTGTTGTACTCAGTTTTTCGAATACACTCAAGTACATATCATACCCTCACGATCAAATAGTCTGAGATTTTATAAAAATCCTTTTTTGTGGGTGGTTGGAGGGTGCTCTGGTGTGGTTTGCTCCTTCTTTCCTATCAAACATCTATCGTCTTTATCTCCCCTTCTTCGTTTTTGTGTTTGTTACTCCCTTGTAATACTTTTAATTTTCTGGCGCTCATATGACCTTAGGCTGCCAGGTGAGCGCAGTAAAACCTCGTCTAAAACAAACAAATAGTCCCCTTTTTATGCACCAATGTCTCTTTTTCTTGGTCTCCCGTAAGGTGTTCTAATACCTAGACCTATCCTCAAAAATGTGAACAAACCTTTTTCCCAATACCTCTTTTTTTTTTTTAGAGGTCCCAACGATTACGTTGATATTA